CGAAGAAACTATCATCTATACCATCCGCAATCTCTGTATTTGAACAAATGAAGGTGGAAACCTCAAATCCGCTTTCGTCTTCCAACTAAAACTGAGGTTTGAATTTTTCCTCCCTTCATCTATTTCTGCAAGCAAAGCTCTCTCTCCTCTTGCTGCTGTCGAACATGTGGCGCAGTGTCGAGGAATTCCTTACATCACAATAATGGTTACTCAACACCTCATTTGGTGGCTCGGTTTGAATCAACACCTCTCTTGGGATTGGCTTGAAGATGAATCCGCGCGAATCCTACAGGTCAAGCCTCATACTCGCGGGGGAAGCAGGCGGAGAGCTAGAGACCTTGTTCAACCATCTGGGAGTATCCGAAATAGCCTCCATCGGCGCCTTTGACCTCTGGATGTGGAGACCGCATTCGCCGATGCCCAATTCAGGATCAGGTCTGGCGTGAGCGTTTGCCCCAGAGCGTACAGGCGCCCCGGTCCTCTTTGTTCGTCCTCGACATCGCCCCAAGGGCCAGAGCAAGCCTGGCCTCATGTGCCATTTGCGGTGCTATCTCCGCATCCCTTGCCGCCCGAACCGCGACAAGGTGTAGCCACTCCGCATCCGCCATGAGACCCACTATCTCCTGGTCGGAGACCTCCCCACCCCCGCCATGCGGTGCCATCCGTAGATCTCACCGGCGACCTGGGAACCACCGATCTATCCCCGGATCTGCTCGGCGCAACCCTCAAAGCAAGCTCCAATCCCGCCCTTGGCCATGGCGAGAAGGCCAGTGGGAGGGTGAAGCACACGCTCCGTTTCGACGCGGACAACGGCGGGCAGGGTAGAGGAGGAGCGATCCATGCTTTTCTTCATCAGTAACGCTTGCTGTTCTAGTGTGCTGATTCTTTGTAGTTTTAGCATGACGGCTTGCAACTGTCTATTATAACAAAGTTTGTCCATGTTTGATGAGGGATGGACGATAACGACGACACACCTTTGATTCGCTTTACTGGTTCTAGTCGTCACTAGATGATCTACATGCATGAATTTATCTTTTATTGTTTTTTGTCATTTTTACTGGCATGATGCTTGATGAATGAATCAAATATTTGTAAAGCAAACTCTGGATTCGTTGCTATCAACTGTCGATTCTATCTCGATCCAAAAATAAATAGAAATAGAGCTCGAAGTCGCCATTTCTAGTGGTCCTGGACGCCACCTGTAGCAGCACACACTGTGCATCCATCCCATGCCGGTCTCCACCTGCATCATTCCCAAAAGCATCACCTCCACGTCTTTGACCACAACAGCTCTGACGCAGGTACGTGGCGGCCCGTCCCCATCCCCGCCATGCCTCGCCGCTTGCATTCGCACACGGCACATCTCCCCGCCGCTGGCCCTCCACCCCACCCCACCCCACGGCACCCAATACAACCTGAATCACCCCGAAACCGCCGCCACCGTTTCCCCGGTTTGTTTGAGTCCCAACGCGCGCGGGGCCCCGACGGCGACGCCCACTGTTCCGCGGCGCCCCCACCTGGCCACCTCCCGTCCGCATACGTGCCCCTCCTGCCCCCCTGACGTGTCCCCGACGACCAGAGACCCAGCGAGCGGCAAAAAAATCTCGCCCTCGGGTGGCACGTAACATTAGGCGGCCGATTGCGCGCGAACAAGGAGCGGGACGTGTCACGTCTCCCCCGGGCTCCGGTCGCCGGAGAAATTTAAAAACCTCGTCGTTGCGAGGTCAAACGGGGACACGAGTCGCCCCCTCTGCGCTCCGGGGGGCCACGGCGCGTCTACGAGGTCGCCCCGGGCCGGGAGCCAATGGGGTGGCGGCACGGCGCGCGCAACCACCACCCGCAACCCCCGCTTTCTCTTTTCTTTTCGAATTCGCGTCCGCGTCGGCATCAGCATCAGACCCGACGGAACCTTTGCCCTGCCCCCCGAGTTGGACCGGCGATGGAAAGAATTCCGGGGATCCGCCTAAACGGGACACGTCGCAGTGGTTTACACTCCCGGGCCACGATCCCGTGCCCGGTCGCCATCGCGCACCTGTGCCCGCATTATTCTATCCGGACGTCCGCTCGTTCGGCGCGATTAGGTTGCGGGGTTAGATCGGACTTTCAACACAACCACACTAGCTTAGATTTGATTAGGCTAGATTAGTTGATTAGCGAGGGTGTTATCGTGGCCGCGCGTCACGTGTCCCGGCTGGGGAGAGGGTGAGCCGTTGATGGGGCGGGGGCACGTGTCGTGGTGCGCGCCGCGTGCCATGCGCAACTCGTGGACGGCCCGGATGTTGCGTGGGGCGGTGGATGCCACCAGGTGTCGCCTCCGCCTGAGAGATGGCGACGCGCGCCATGGATGTGCCACGCCACCTGCGGCCAAGCTTTATAAGGGGGCCGCCCGCCACGGACTCCTCTCCTCCATTCCATTCCATTCCCCTCCCCTTCATCTTCTTGTAGCCACCGAGCGACCGAGCAGCGGCGATTTGCATTTCATCTCAGAATTCAGGCGGTGTTCTTGTCTAGGGGAAGAAGAAGAGGGGTTTCTTGGCGTTGATGTCGATGGCGCAGGTGTGCTGTGACTCGGCCTCGTCGGCGGTGGTGGTCGGGGCGGAGGCAGAGGCCAGGGCCAGGGCGCGCGCCGGGAGGCGCCGCAGAGCCGGGGACGCGGTGGCCAGGTGGAAGGTCACCGCGGAGGCGCCGCAGGGCGCCGAGGAGGCCGCGGCCACCAGGAAGCGCCGCGCGGCCGGGGGCGAGGGGGTGGCCGCGAAACGCCACGGGTTCACGTCGGTCGCCGGACGCAGGAGGGAGATGGAGGACGCCGTCTCCATACGGGAGGCCTTCACCGCCCCGGCCGAGGAGGGGAAGCCCCGGCGCGACTTCTACGGGGTCTTCGACGGGCACGGCTGCTCGCACGTGGCGGACGCGTGCCGGGAGCGGATGCACGAGCTCGTCGCCGAGGAGCTCGCCGGCGCGGCACAGCCCGAGTCCTGGACCGGCGCAATGGAGCGCAGCTTCGCGAGGATGGACGCCGAGGTGACCGCCAGCGGGGGCGGCGACAGCGCCAGCTGCCGCTGCGAGGCCAACAAGTGCGACCACGTGGGGTCCACGGCCGTGGTGGCCGTCGTGGGGGAGCGGCGCGTCCTGGTGGCCAACTGCGGCGACTCCCGCGCCGTGCTCTGCCGCGACGGCGCGCCGGTCGTCCTCTCCTCCGACCACAAGCCCGACAGGCCGGACGAGCTGGAGAGGATCGAGGCGGCCGGCGGCCGCGTCATATTCTGGGAGGGCGCGAGGGTGCTGGGCGTTCTGGCCATGTCGCGCGCCATCGGCGACGGCTACCTGAAGCCGTACGTGACGGCGGTCCCGGAGGTGACGGTGACCGACAGGGCGGCCGGCGACGAGTGCCTGATCCTAGCCAGCGACGGGCTGTGGGACGTGGTCACCAACGAGACAGCCTGCGAGGTGGCGCGAGCCTGCCTCCGGAGGGGCAGAGACAGGTGGTGCGCCGAGGCGGCGGCCATGCTCACCAAGCTGGCGCTGACGAAGAACAGCTCGGACAACATCTCCGTTGTCGTCGTCGATCTCCGGCCAAGGAATCATTTGTAGGAGCGCGACTGGCTGCCGTGATCTTCCATTGCAACAATCGTAGTATAGTAGTAACAGTAGGGTCAATCCAAAACTAGCTCTATAGTGATTCTACTGATTGTTTCTCTTCTTCAAAATTCATTATTTTTTCTTTTTGCAATATTTCTCCCTGGATCAAGTTCAGTGGAGTACATAGATTATGGTGGGGTTGAGGAAAGAAATAACAATTGGTGTAACCAAGTTCGATCCTGAAATTGAAACTGAAGTTCAGTTCATCAGAAGGAAGTCAGTTTTTGTTCAAATTCTGAAGGCTGGATTCAGATCTGCAGCTTCCGTTCGCATCAGTAATCCTGTTTAGATGGAGGATGATACAAGGCCTTAGTAGGGCTCATATAATAATCTCCCCTAAGCAAAAACTGACTAGGCCTTGTACAATGAGCCCTACTAAGCACCTTGCAGCTTCCGTTCGCATCAGTAGTTCATCATCAGTAGGGCTCATATAGTCTTCTGATGTGCTCAAATCTAAGTATTACACCAGGTACTGATTGTTAGATCGGTGAAGCACAAACCATATCGAATATCTTGTGCCACCGGAGGACCCAAAAAATGGGGGATCTGGGCGCCATATAAAATACATAAAATGAAGTCAAATCAAAAGATAGTACTACTACAGAAAAGAGATGAAATCAAAGGGAACAGATCCGGGACAGCTCTCGGCGCTTGCGTGAAGACGAAGAAAAAGATCAGAGGCTCCCAAGGAAAAGGCTTGACACGAGATATTTCTTCCTTGTGGGATTGATTCATCCGGAAGCACGACACCTGCCCAGCCCAGCTGTGTGAAACATACGGACGGCCGGAGACACCAGCAGATCTGCGGTCCAGGCCATTCCGTCCAGCTGGGGTGGGGTTCTCATTCTTTCTTCCCGGCAACGCACGCACGCACGCAGGCGCACCTCGACAAATTCCCTCCTTCCTCTTTAAAACAAGGGTTTGTCACTCCGTGATTGGATTGGAGTGACGCGTCGGAGGGCATTGAAAAATCGTCCACTCCGGCCATGATTTGCGTCCGGCGAAGGACGGATCTTTTCTGCTTTATCACGACTGACGATAATGGCGACAGCGGGGCAAAGATGCAAGGAACCTCCACGCCCCACCTCTGTCGTCTCACCGGGGCGGGGTGTTTGGTTTGGTGGGATATGTTCGTCCTCGTCGTCCAGGTGTTCGTCCCAGGCTCCCCCTCTGCTGTTCCTCCCGTCGTTCGGTGGCGCTGCGGACGGAAGGTTCGACACGCACACGCATCGCCTGATTGAGCGGCGTGGCGGTGTTGCTGGTGGGTGGCCGCTGGCGGGCGCGATCAGCCAACATATCGGATCTGCTCGTGGATGGTGAAGAGAAAACTCTACTTTCGAGCTGGCTTCTGTTTGTGCTTTTTTAAGTTCTCGCTGATTCCGGGGCGACCAAAACTTTTGTGTCAGCAGTGTCAAAAGGTGTCACTCCTTGATATGGCAAAATATGAGTGAGTGAGAAAATGGGGCGTTGAAACGACAAGAAAATAAAATAAATTAAGAAAAATGAACGTCCATTCGAATAGTACAAGGAATTGCAAAAAAATTATGTCTGATCCCAGGTTCGAACTGGGGACCTTTAGTGTGTGAGACTAACGTGATAACCAACTACACCAACCAGACACCTTGTTATCTGGGGCAAACCATGTTTAGTTATACAATACCAGAGTGTACTGGTCACATAACCCGAAAATGCATAGGTAGTCGTGGCTTCCCTTTTCCTAAATACCGCACCAATACAAAATACGTGGATATGTGTGCCTTCTTTTCAATTTTCTGTTTTACAATGGCAAAATGTTCTGCTGGAAACAGACTAACAGATGATCCAGGATGAATGGAAGAATGATGACTTCCACTTAATTGGCGGCCATATTCTCAAAGGTGTGCGAAGGAAGGTTTATCCATTGTATCGGGTGTATCCTCTTATGATGTAATCTCCGACTTTTTGATTGCACCTATGCAGTCTGATATTGTCCGCCTATTTGATGAATAAAATGCCTTGCAGGGTGGTTCTCAAAAAAGCAGAATTTTGGATTGATCCTATAAGGGTAGTTCTAGTGCTCTGCTTTGGACTATATCTTAATCCTGAAACCTAAGCAAACATCTGATGTGGCACCTGATTTAGTGTGGAAAGAGAAAGTAATTATATCTCAGTTAAGATATACTCATAGTGCCAAAACCAGCATTTTGTCCATCGCGAAACACGTTAAATGAAATTTTTTAGATACAACAAAAACGGCTTCTCCCAGTGCACAGATAGATGAGATACTAGGTTCATGAAAGGGCTTGGCAACTAAACTCCCAATGCATAGGTAATTAGTTTTTTCTAGCTAACCTTCCTTCATTTAATTGTTTAGCAACTAAAATCCCATGCATATGCATTTTTGCATAGGTTCGCATGCTTGGCACTATTTCTTCCTGGGTCACCAAAATTTTCTCTCCCACTCTTAATTGCTTTGATATGTCAGGATTTCCCCACATGACATTTTTAGCACATGTACATCATGGAGCATTAGGAAGGGCCATTGGTGAATTTATGTCTGAGTACATACTTAATGCATACTCCCTCCATTTCATAATGTAGTGCTTCCTCTATCCTCGTGCTTCAACTTTGACCGTAAATTTAACTACCAAGACCGATTGCAGCGGGAGCAAAAATTATATCGGTGAATTCGTATTCGAAAGAAGTTTTCAATATAATTTTTTCTCCCGCCGCAGTTGGTCTCGTTGGTTAAATTTATGGTCAAAATTGGACCTCTGAAAGCGCGGGCGCACTATATTTTGGAATGGAGGGAGTATGATATAAACGTATAATGCATTCAAGGTCTAATTCCCCTAGGTTTACCTAGGGTTCTCAGGTTCCTCTTGCGACGCCGTCGCCCGAGTGCATCTACCCTTCGATTTCCCAATTCCCTCACGTTGAAACTTTCCCAACAAAGTTCACCCGTGATACCATGAGAGTAGGCTACACCATGGTACCCTTGCATGGCAGAAACAAGATCTCAGGTGCTGCCAGAGGACGAAGCATCTGGAAATGGTGCAACGGTGTTAATCACTCGAACGAAGCAAGTCTCGAGGATAGGTTGGAGGGATTGGATCTCCATGGGGAGGAAGAGAAAGACCATGACCTGTCTAGAGAGATTAAAGGGCGGCTTGAGGAAACTCGATGGATTGGGATTTTTAGGGTTCATTCACAGAAAACCCTTCAGTCATGTTGCCTTGTTTAAATCTATGCATAATGCTTGGGCCTCTCAGCAAGGAATAAATTTCAAGACGATGAATGACGGCCTTTTCCTGGTTCAGTTCATGTGCCCTAGTGATTGGAATCACGTCATGGGCGGTGGTCTATGGGTGTTCAGAATGATGCAATGGTTCTTGAGGAATATGATGGGATAACCAATGTTCAAGAATACTAGTTGGACCGTATTCCTGTCTAGGCTAGGATCATGGGTATACCTGTTGGTCGCATGAACAAGATGGTGTTGGGGATCGTAGCAGAAATCAAAAAATTTCTACGCATCACCAAGATCAATCTATGGAGTATTCTAGCAACGAGGGGAATAGGAGTGCATCTACATACCCTTGTAGATCGCGAGCGGAAGCGTTCAAGTGAACGGGGATGATGGAGTCGTACTCGTCGTGATCCAAATCACCGATGACCAAGTGCCGAACGGACAGCACCTCCGCGTTCAACACACGTACGGTTGGGAAGACGTCTCCTCCTTCTTGATCCAGCAAGGGGGAAGGAGAGGTTGATGAAGATCCAGCAGCACGACGGCATGGTGGTGGATGCAGCAGGATCCCGACAGGGCTTCGCCAAGCACAAGCGGGGAGGAGAGGTGTTACGGAGGGAGAGGGAGGCGCCAAGAGCAAGGTGCGGCTGCCCTCCCTCCCTTCCACTATATATAGGGGCTAGGGGGGCGCATGCCCCCTTGGAGATCCCATCTAAAAAGGGGGGGCGGCCCCTGGGGCAACGGCCCCCTTAGGGTTTCCAACCAGGGGGGCGCATGCCCCCTCGGGGGGCAATGGCCCCCTAGGGCTTGGGCCCTTGGGTGGGGCGCACCAGCCCATCAGGGGCTGGTTCCCACGCCACTTCAGCCCATGGGGCCCTCCGGGATAGGTGGCCCCATCCGGTGGACCCCCGGGACCCTTCCGGTGGTCCCGGTACAATATCGGTAACCCCCGAAACCTTCCCGCTGGCCGAAACTGGACCTCCTATATATAAATCTTTACCTCCGGACCATTCCGAAACTCCTCGTGACATCCAGGATCTCATCCGGGACTCCGAACAACTTTTGGGTTACGGCATACTAATATCTCTACAACCCTAGCGTCACCGAACCTTAAGTGTGTAGACCCTACGGGTTCGGGAGACACGCAGACATGACCAAGACGCCTCTCTGGTCAATAACCAACAGCGGGATCTGGATACCCATGTTGGCTCCCACATGCTCCTCGATGATCTCATCAGATGAACCACGATGTCGAGGACTTAATCAATCCCGTATTCAATTCCCTTTGTCAATCGGTATGTTACTTGCCTGAGACTCGATCATCGGTATCCCAATACCTTATTCAATCTCGTTACCGGCAAGTCACTTTAATCGTACCATAATGCATGATCCCGTGACCAACCCCTTCGTCACATTGAGCTCATTATGATGATGCATTACTGAGTGGGCCCAGAGATACCTCTCCGTCATACGGAGTGACAAATCCCAGTCTCGATTCGTGCCAACCCAACAGACACTTTCGGAGATACCTGTAATTTACCTTTATAGTCACCCAGTTACGTTGTGACGTTTGGCACCCCCAAGGCACTCCTACGGTATCCGGGAGTTGCACAATCTCATGGTCTAAGGAAATGATACTTGACATTCAGAAAAGCTACAGCAAACGAACTACACGATCTTTGAGCTAAGCTTAGGATTGGATCTTGTCCATCACATCATTCTC